ATTTTATTTAATCTTCAGGATAATTATATATACCATTTGGCTGACTAATCAAAGATTAAATAGTTAACAATCTAAAACCTGTACTCTACAAACACTTAATTAAATAAAATGATATCACACTACAATGGTGCTGTATTCATTACAGTTGTAGGTAGAAGTATCCGAGAAATACTTTCCAGAACTTGATGCTTCTGTAAGATGCAAGTTCATCAGTTGACTGCGAACGCAAGTGAAAATGGAGAAGTAAAGGAGAGTAAGATGATAACTGCGATAAAATCACGGTGGTCTTTTCACTGTTAACTCATTAGTCATGGGCTGGTGAAGGGTTTACTTTTAACCCTCGCTCTGCAATATAGTCTATATAATCCTCCACATAGTCTATGCATTTATAGTCTATAAAATTTAACATGATGATAAAGCTTCTAGGAGTCTTTCATAAAAATGGAATTTGAATGCAATCTTCATTAAAAACAAGACTACCTACTCGGCCACAATCCCCAAGTGCAGGTAAAATGAATATTTTAAAGCAACTTTTCCAGATGATCTAGAAAGATAGGATTTTGAGTATACTGGCATTGGAGTAGACATGACTAGTCTAAAGAGAGCTGATATTTTCAAAAAGATTGCTAGATTTGTTGACTTCTACAAGCATTTATTTAATAAAAACTTGTGAGAAAATTTCCTTTTCCCAAACATTCAACATTATTTAATAAGAATTAAAATACGGCATGAAAAATGTCTCAGTAGGCGTTTTGGAATAAGTAAACTCAATCAACTCAACCAACCAGCCAACTAAAAACAAAACAAGAAAGGAAGATCAAGACTTGGCTTGAAATTTCTAAGAAAATGCAGAAGCAGAATTACCACATTTTCAGAGCTGAAAGGTGAGAATTTTCTTATGAGTACTTCTCTAAGAAAGAAGAAAAATCTGCATACATCTTTGCAAATCAACTTAGGGACTACAGTCAGCAATATTAATGAACACAGAAAAGCCTTCTGTCTAAACCAACAATGGCAGCTTCTTAAGAAAAAATTTCTTTTCATTAAAGTTTTAAAAAAATTATTTATGAAGCAGTCACACAGGATTTAAAGCACACATCAGACTGATTTGTCATAATTCTGACTGTCTTGAGTAAAAACCCCATAGTATTCCTGTTTGTTGGCTTTAAAATTTCTCTGTACAAAGACATAAACTACTGCATATATGAATGCATACGACTGCCTAAAATAGTAAAGGAGCCAAACAAAGAAAATATTAAAATACTGCTTTTTTGGTATCCTTGGAGAATCTGTGGTAGTAACAAGGTTTGTTGTTTCCTGTCTGAAGAAATATTACATATATGGGAGACAGATCTCTAAATATTTACACTGTGAAGATCTTGTTCTCTTGCACCACCCTGAATCATAAGATTTTGAAGTTGAAATAAGTGTTATTTCAGATATTCACTCTCCCTGCCTGGCAGCAAGGACTGCATCAATCTCCTCCGTGCTTGCTCATTTGGGAAGCATGTATTCAGGAGATGCAATCCAAAGGGATTCCTCTATCCTGGCAACACTGCAGCAGTCTACCGTCTCCAACTGAGGTAATGATGGGATTGCAGGACTGTCTGCCCTGTAGTCATGAGCAGTGACCATGGTCAGCAAGGTGCTGAATCCATCCAATGATGACACAAGAACCTCTGCGTCCAGCTAGCTGATCAATATGGTTAATTAAAAAATAGCAGGTGGACCTGTTTGGAATAACTATTGGGTAATTTCACTTATTGTTCACCTGTGGTCAGTTGTGTGGTGACTGAATTTTTAAATATTTGGTGTTTTGTAAATCAGGTATATGATGAAATTTCTTTCCCCACTTTGAACAACTAGAGAACACAACCCGTAACAATTATAAATTTCAGTGGTTTAATTTTAATTTCATAAACCTTAATGAGTATGGAAAAAATTAAAATAATTAATCTGAGAATCCCATTTGCATGCTTAGACTGAGGTTTACAAAAAATGAAAGCATGAGAAGTAAGTGTATACCTGAAGAAAACAGATAAACAAAGACAAAGGGTGTAACAGGGAAATGTTCATATTTACAGCACTAAAAATTAATTTCAAACATACCACTTCAGATGTGCTATGTCTAGTCTAGACCATCATTTGGATTGTTAACCGGTCAGTGACCACTTTATGCAGAAAAAAATAACACTGTTATCTAAATTTCATTTTTTCTTCAGTTTCTCTTGTATAAGAAGAAAACTATACACACCCAATTGAAAGAATCTTTCATATGCTGTACTAAAAAGCAGCCCCAAAGACTACCAACTATTTAAAATGAATGTAAGTTAGTTAGTGTGGGCAAAACAACCAATTCAGCAATAACATACTACTATTTTAATTTTTTTTCAGGCTTGCTGATGTCGATTAGGTGCATTCAAACTTTGCAGCTCAATCCTTTTTGACTTGCTTTTGCACAAATTTTTAAGGCTAGAAAGCAACTAATCTGTATTCATAGCCTATGTGTTTTAAAAGTAGTTGGACTCTGTTCAAACATTCAAAAAATCATCTTTGAGCTGCAGCTCATCATAGAAGACAATTCCTCAAGGAAATTGTTCTGGGAAAGTTATAAGCAGATAGAACAAGAATTTATAATGGAAGTTGGCTTGCAATATCAAGCTCTTATCTAAAAAATGTTTACACATGTGAGTATCTCATTAAAGACAATCTAAGACTTCAGTAGTGCACCAAGCACCAAGATACAGACAGGCTGTGGGCACCTTTGTGATGCTGTCCTGAAATCTGTGAGAGTTACACAAAGAGTTGGAGGGAGCTCACATTCAGGCAGTATTACCTTAAAATATGGCCTTCTATCTGATTATCAGTTTTAAAAAAATAATATTATCTGGCTCTCAGAAAAGGCAGAATCTTATTTAATTTTGTGTCAATTGCTCTGTAGTGTCTGTCAAAGGCAGTACAGCCATGGAAGAAGCCAGGGTTGCAAGTCTACCTTTCAGGTACCTGGAGACTTGAGCTGAAAGTCTGCATTCCAGATAAAAGGAATTAGGCTGCAAAAGGCAGAGTTTTCTCGAAAGCCACCCCTATCCCCCCACCAACTGAGAGCTAGATAAGCCAGGTCAGGAGGGAGAGGCAAGATGGTAGGGTGAAATTCAGTAACAGGCAGCAAAAGCTCCCACTATGTGTGTGACCTTGAATCCTCGCCCTTTTCACAAAATGGAGCAAGAAAAGCAGCTTTTTAGTTCCTCAGTGATTAAACACCGCACACTAAACATGGGAGACTCAAATCTCCTCTCTGCCTGAAGGAACTAACATTTACATCTCCCACAAGAACTCTCTAATGACTCAGCTATATGATATAATACCTTGGATTCTCACAACTTTTTTCTTGTTAAAGCTCTACTACTCTTCCTTATGTGCTTAAATATTCACTGCAGCAAAAGCCAAGCCCTGTGCCCTGTTGACTGTCCTAATCAGCAGGCTTCATAGTCACATTACAACATTAGCCAGAGCCCATCAAGTCCTGCACTTTATCACTCCATGCAACCTAGGGCAGTTTCAAAGCAGAGATTTAAGACACCTCCACCAGCTCATGGCTGCCTCTGTTTGGAGACAAGGCCGTGTTGCCAGGAGGTGGGAAAAGGAGCTGCTCTTCAGGTACAATGCATACCCTACTACCAGGCTGCTGGAGCAACAGGGGAGAGGGTGCAAATCTGTCCCCCTCTCTGTAAGAACTCGGGACACCCAAGCTATCGTGCTCTGAAAGCACACCTGGAGAGAGTTCTGCTGATAAGAGAGGGTTCCACTGATGGGAGAGGCAGAGCGATGCTGATGGTGCAGATCCATCTGGCTTGTGTGGCCATGAGATATCTGCCAGGTATCTCTGCAAGCCAACAGGCATAAGGATGCGAAGGAAAATCTCCTGGCAGATATATGTGCATCGAGTGTCTCCAGAGATCAGATGGTTGTCACTCCACAGAGAGGAGAAACTCCATTTGGGATGGGATGAGAGCAGCCCCACAATGGCAGGTGTGCCAAGCTTCGCTGCCTGACTCTGAGGATGCTGGCACTGAGACACCGAGGGAAGGTCGGCTGATTTCACCTCAATCCCGTTTAGCAACTTAAAAATACTTTTGAACAGCACCTTTTTTTTGGATCGGTGCTTCGGAGTGGTTCCTCTCGAGCTTTCATCAGCTCCTGCACAAACACACGCGCGCGCGCGCGCACAGACAGACACACAGACACACACACACACGTAGACACGCCGCTTGTGGATGCAGATGAATGATTCCACCTGACCCGGCCGCCTCCGGGCATCGCTCTCCCCGGCACCGGCGGTGCCGAGAGCGCCTGCGGGGTGGGCGGCGGCCATTTCGGAGCCTGAGGGGAGTCACCGGCGGCGACCCCCGCCAGGCTGGATGGAGAGGGGGCACGGGGCGAGCCGCCCGAGGCACAAAGGGGAGGGCCGCCCCGAGCAAGGGAGGTGCACGCGCACTCCGCTTTCCTCCCCGTGCGCGGGGGGAAGGAGCGGGCAGGAATATTCTGGACCGAGGGAGGGGAGGAAGGAGAAGGGGCTGAGTAACTTGAATAAATCTGCAGCGGAGCTGAGGAGAGGGGGAGGGAGGCAGCGACAGGTCATGTGAGGCACAGTCATGCTGCAGGCAGAGAGGGGGCACCTAAGGGGGAAAGGACACGAGGCAGTCTTGGGTGGCGGCTGCCCGCCATGGCCGGGGCCACAACCTCGCCCCTTCCCCAGCCGGGGCACCCCCTCCCTGCCCGCGTTCGGCGCCGCTCGCCCATTTCCGCCACGCGAGCCGAACCCCATTTCCGCCGGCCCCGGCCAGACGGGCTTTATGTCTGCTGGCGCGGCGCGCGTGCGCGGCGGCCGCCGCCATCTTACGTTGTCTCTCGCCCGCCCTCCCCTTTGGCGAGCTCTCCCCTCCTCCCCCCCCGCGGCGCCTCCTCCAGCGCTCCGTGAGGAGACGGGGCCGGCACGGCGAGGGAGAGACCCGCGGCGGCGGGGAAGCTGGGAGTAGACCCCGAGGGAAGAAAGGACGGGGCGGACGCGCACGCGGCAGGAGGAGGATAGATTCCAGGCGCGGTTCTGCGGAGGACCAGTGGGTGCCGCCTGTTATAAAGGGGGAGGAGGCGGCGGAGGGGGAAGGAAGAGCGTGCGGAGCGGAGCCTCCTCCAGAGACAGCCAGACACAGAGGGAGGAGAGAGAGAGGCTGCCTGGCTGGCTCCCCCTTCCTCCCTCCCTCCTTCCTTTTCATGGACTCTCTTGTCGGGCTGCTGCTGCTTTTCTTCCGTCCTTATTCCATCTGTCTAATGCCCAAAATGATTCAGCTCCATGGCTGCCACTGACGGGGATGTCCCTGCCCGGCTCAGCCTGCCGCTGCCGCCCTGCTGTGCGCCAGTCCTGTACGTATCCGCGCCTTCCTCCTCCTACTTAGCAGCGGTGATGGCGAGGGGCGCCGGCCGCCTCGCCGGGCTACCCTGAGGGCCCGCCGGCTGCCCTCGCCCCGCCAAGCCGGGGAGGGAGGGAGGCAAGGAGGGCGGTGCTGCCGGCGAGCCGCGGCGCCCGGCGGAGCCTCCGCGGTGAGGAGGAAGGGGCTCGCCCTTGGGGTGGCCGGCTGGCTGCTCCCCGGGAGCGGCGAGTCGGGGGGCTGGGGAAGTGTGTGTATGGGTGGGGGAGTAGGGGGCGGCCGAGGAGGGAGGTGGTGGTGGAAATCAAAGGAAGGGGGGGCGGGTAGGGAGAAAGAAAGTGAATGGCGGAGGATAGAAAGTGTCACATTCAGAGGCGGCGGAGGACCGGTGCTCGCCCCCTCCCTGTCTCGGAAGGGAGGAGGAGGAGGAGGAGGGGAGGGGGGTGGTGGTTGGCGGTGCCGAGCCGCCTCAGCCCGTGCGCTGCGGGAGCCGGGGGGGGGTGGTTGTGCGTGGTGGTGTCTCTCTGCCCTGCCTTAAGCGGAAAGCTAACTGTGTGTGTGTGTGTATCTGTGTGTGTGTCTGTCTCTCTCCATACCGGGGGATTGCACTCTTAAAATACACCCGATACAATGCACCAGCCTGACTCAGCCGCAGACATTAGTGCTAGGAAGATGGCGCACCCGGCGATGTTTCCTAGAAGGGGCAGCAGCAGTAGCAGCGGCAGCAGCTGCGTTACTGCTCCCACTGCACCAGGTACCGGCGTTGGGAGCGCTGCCCTCTCTGCCGAGGATTATCAGCCGCCTTTGCTGGTCCAGCCACCGCCTCCATCTCCTGCAGCAGCTTCATCAGCGGGTCCACAGCCGATACCCCCTCCTCCACAAAGCCTGAACCTCCTCTCGCAGTCTCAGCTCCAACCACAGCCTCTTGCACAGACTGGAGCTCAGATGAAAAAGAAAAGTGGCTTCCAAATTACCAGTGTGACCCCTGCTCAAATATCAGCTAGTATGAGCTCTAATAACAGTATAGCTGAGGATACAGAAAGCTATGATGATCTGGATGAGTCTCACACTGAAGACCTTTCGTCTTCAGAGATCTTGGATGTGTCTTTATCCAGGGCCACTGACTTGGGAGAACCTGAAAGGAGCTCCTCTGAAGAGACTCTAAATAACTTCCAAGAGGCAGAGACTCCTGGGGCTGTTTCTCCAAATCAGCCTCATCTTCCTCAGCAGCATGCTCCTCTTCCTCATCACCCACAGCAGAGTGTTGTGATCAATGGAAGTGTTCACCCCCACCACGTTCATCATCACCACCATCTTCACCACCACCATCATGGACACCATCATCCATCGCATCCTGGCGTAGGTAGTGCCCCTATTTCTGGAGGACCACCGCCCAGTCCATCATTTAGAAAACTATCAACAACTGGAAGCTCTGACAATGTTATATCAACTGCACCAGTTTCTGCTGCATCATCCACTGGTTCCCCGGCATCTGCTGTGTCTAATATACGCACTACAAGTACTCCTGGCAATTTAGGTGTAAGTCCTGCTACTGGAACTAGTACCTTAAATAATATGGGTGGTGGTAGTTCTAGTGTGGCAAGCAATGTGCTTGGTACTATAAATTTAAGCAACATCACGAGTACTGGTAATGTAAATGCTTTGTCTGGAACAAGCAGCAATGCTAATGTGAATATCTTGAGTGGTGTTGGCAATGGTACGAGTGCTTCCTCTAGTGTCATTAACAATGTTACTAATCCAACGGCAGGAATGGCAGTGGGATCGAGCCCACAGCCGGCTGCATCTGGCACCTCAAGGTTTAGGGTTGTAAAATTAGATTCTAGTTCTGAACCTTTCAAAAAAGGTAGATGGACATGCACTGAATTCTATGATAAAGAAAATACTGTTGCAGTTTCAGAAGGAGTAGCAGTAAACAAAGCAGTAGAGACGATAAAACAAAACCCGCTTGAAGTGACTTCTGAAAGGGAGAGCACCAGTGGGAGTTCTGTTAGCAGCAATGTAAGCACACTGAGTCACTATACAGAAAGTGTGGGAAGTGGAGAAATGGGAGCACCTACTGTGGTACAGCAGCAAGCATTTCAAGGTGTGGGTCCACAGCAGATGGATTTTAGCAGTGCTGCTCCTCCAGCAATTCCAGCATCTAGTATACCACAGAGTGTTTCTCAATCACAGCTTGCACAAGTCCAGCTGCATTCTCAAGAAGTAAACTATCCACAGCAGAAGCCAGGGGTCCAACCCCCTGCACAGGCCAGTCTAACCACTGTTACTGGGGTTCAGCCAGCCCCGGTTAATATACTAGGTGTATCCCCATCCCTGGGCCACCAGCAACCTGCCATTCAGAGTATGGCTCAACAGCAGCTGCCATACTCACAGCCAGCGCAGCCTGTGCAGACTTTGCCAGTGGTGCAGCAGCAGCAGTTGCAGTACGGACAACAGCAGCAGCAGCAACAGCCGGTTCCTACGCAGATGGCCGCAGGTCACGTTAAGCCGGTGAACCAAAACTCTGTCACGGGGGCTATGCCGGACTACATTCAACATCAACAGATCCTTCAGACTCCAGCTCCTGCCATGCAGCCAAGTTCTACAGGAGTAGGAGCTGGGCAGCCAGTTCCTGTTGCCCAGGCACAGGGCATGCAGCCTTCAGTGCAAGCACATCCAGCCGCTGCCCCAGCTCAGCCTGTTGCTCATGCTCCAGCAGCAATACCAGGTGTAGCTGCCAGTGGTCAGATGCTGAATGTTGGGCAGCAGGGAAGCGTAGCTGCTGTGGTGCAACCACCCTCTGCTGCAAACCAAATTCCACCTCCAGTTATGCCGTCAACTGCTGCTCCTTCATCTTCCCAAGTAGTGCAGCCTGTGCAGACAGGAATAATGCAGCAGGGATTACAGGCTAGTGCTTCAAGCCTTCCTCAGCAAATGGTCATTGCTCAACAAAATACCTTGTTACCTGTACAGCCGCAGGCACAAGGAGTGGAATCTGTAGTCCAAGGGATGGCTGGCCAGCAGCTGTCTGCGGTTAGCCCTATACCCTCAGCTAGTACTGTTCCTGCAGCAAGTCAAGCTGGTTCAGCTGTGCCTCCTGGCATACCTTCTGCTTCTGTAGGTTTGGGACAGCCACAGAATATAGCACAGGCTTCGGCTGTGCAGAATGGCAGTTTGGCTCAAAGTGTTAGTCAGCCTCCCTTGATATCAACAAGTATAGGTATGCCAGTGGCACAGAGTATGCCACAGCAGATGCCACTAAGCTCTACCCAGTTCCCTGCACAATCACTAGCTCAGTCCATTGTAAGCCAAATTGAAGATGGCAGACGCCCTACAGAACCTTCATTGGTGGGTTTACCTCAAGCTGCCAATGTCGAGAGTGGTGTTGGAGCATCAGCTGTTTCGGATGGGGGTAGCAGCAACATACCATCTTCTGCATCCCTCTTTCCACTGAAGGTGCTGCCGTTGACAACGCCTCTCGTAGATGGTGAGGATGAGAGGTAAGACTGCCTGTAACTTTATTAAAATATGGACTGCCTGATAGTTTGATTTGCAGTAACTTGGAGGTCTTGTTACAGCCATTCGTTGAAATGAAGCAGAGTGATGTTTCTGTCTAATTAGAAATATTGTTTCTCAGGTCCCAGCGTATGCAGGTATTATATTAAAGAACTAGTTTTTCTCTTGAGGGGGTGGGTTGTATTGATTATGCTTTGAAATTACTGCGTGGGTAAATGGTGTTTAACAGTCTGTGACAATGTGTATATTCCCACTGTACAGGGCAAGACAGAAGAATACTGTGGAACATGGGTATGCTAGTGGTGATTATGGTTTAGATTTTTTTATTATATTGAAATAATATTTATTCTTAGGTAGATTTTTTTTTCTTTCCACAAGCCTAGAGTCCATCCTGCCTCAGCTTCTCTATTTTAAGTATTGACTTTACGAAGGTCGAACCAGTTGCGAGTCTGTGGTGTAAGTAAAGCCTTCTCTTTGACAGCCAGGAGATGCTTTAGGCAAATGAGTATGGTGGGGAAAAGGAAGTTCAGCAACACTGTTGTGGCTCTTTAAATTGAACTTAGGCCACTTTTGGTCTTGATGGTTTTGCTTCAAAGCATTAATCCATGGTGAGAGCTGCTCAGGCCTGCAGAGGGATGGTGAGCCTTTGAATCTGGTGCACCAATTCTGTGCAGTCAGAGTATGAAAACTGCTCTCTTTCTCCCACCCTCACCTATTCAAACTATGGGTGTTCTCCCACCTTCACATTTTCAAGTAAATGACCACTGGCTGGTCTTAATAGTACGTACATGTGAATAGTCTAATTTCTTTGACAGTGTGTGCAGAGAAGTTGTATCAGTTGTGAAAGGCTATTTTGTGTGCAGGCTGAAGGAATCCAAAGATCAGTTTTGAAGTGTGATTTTTTGATATTAATTATGTGTGGAAATTCCTCAATGTATTGAGGACCTCTTATGATATGGGTTTGCAAGTGGACAGGAAGACTGGTGCTTCTCCCAAAGAACTTCTTATGTAAGAAACTACAATAAGGGGAGAAGTAACTTTTAAGATAAATTTTAAGATAAGTAAGCAGCCTTCGGAATGTGTGGGAGAACAGAAAAGAATATTAGAAAAACCACGCGTCCAGTAAGGAGACAAAATAAGACACTAAACACAAGGTGGGAAAAATGCCTTAGCAATGGGAGGTGAAGTACTTCTTAAATGTCTTCTTGGTGCCATAACTTAGGAGTATTGTCATTGGCCAAACTTTATTTAAAAAAAATAGAAAAAATAATAATAATAGGTTGCTGAGAAAGGCTGGATTATTTTCCTAATATTGAAGATCCTAACTCTATCAGCAGTCTCTGATTATGTTGATCATGAGGTGTTGACTGCCTTAGTGACTTTCATCACGTCTATCTAAGATACCAGAGAACAATAATGAGTAGCAGCTTGTCTTCCAGGAGTGCTAGGAGACAAGTTCCAACAGTTTCATTCTGATTATGTTTTTTTTAGTCAATAAGTACTTGAAGGTGGTAGAAGACAGGCTGAGGTGTTAAAGCCGACAGTATCACCATTGTGCTGCTAGCAGTTAGTTTTCTCAGAAATGTGTTTTGGTTTTCTTTCATTTGAACTTTCTAAACCAAGACTCTAATCCATTTGTTCATGGGTCCCACTTGTCTTTGGTGGTGTGATTTGGCTTTGTTGTTGTGTGGTGTTTGTTTTAGTATTTTTTTAGCAAGTTAAAAAGCCCCCTTAGCTTTCAGGGGGATCCCAGCTGAGTAAGGGAATCATAAGCTCATTGATACTCAGCATTTTGGAAAATGACAGCTAGCATGTGTCTGTACCCTGATTTTAAAAGCATATGTTAGCAGTTTGTCATGATTGGTAGTTTTTCCAGAATGTTTAAATCCCTCAGGGTAACAATAGCCAGAAATACCTTCTTCCTCTGTTATTTGGCTAGCCAAAGATCATATCCTTTCTTCTCCCATGCACATTGCCTCTTTGTTCAATCTGTCATCTCCAGGTACACTACACTTTTGTTTAGCTGCAGTTGGAAAATCATTTAGATTCTTTACACAGAGCAGGATATGACTCTCTTAAATGGAGACCAAAAATAATTGTGTTTTTTTGCATTACAGTAGTGGCCAGGTCACTTTTGTGGACTGTCAGACAATTTACAGCAGCACTTCTCCCTGCATATCTGTAGGTAGCATTAAAAACATAGTGAGATTGCCTCTGGTTCCGCTTCCAGGGGATCTCAGGACAAGGTACTTACATTGTCATCTCAACTGGAATTTTGATCTGCAGCTTAGGTTTCGTTACTAACTAAAGGTAGTGCAAGATACGTTATTTTGCTTCTTTGGCCATCAGATATCTCTAATTAGAGGTTTTTTTCTGGTTTGTTGGATTATACTCTCTTTTACAGGATGTAAATGGTAATGTGTTTTAAAAGTACATAAACATTTAAGAAACAGACATATTGTAAATACTTGTGTTTAAAATCCCAATTTCTCTGTCTCATCTGCGCACACACATCCATCACTGAAGACTTCTATCAATACATCCCAAGTGATTCTAAACCTGGCAAGGGAAAAGGTAGAAGAAAGAAGTGAGTGATGACATAATTGGGCCAGCAAAGAAGCTGTAAAATTCCATTTAGTGTGCCTTTGAAAAAACATCTGACCCCTGTAATGCCTTGTATAGATTAACTCCCAGCTTTTCTTAAACCTGTATATAATTGCGTTTAAGGACGCACCAGTATCTTTAAGTCTTTAGTCTGTTCAGTTTTTAGAACACCATTTGCATCTCTTTCTATGTTTGTTATCAGGGTATGGCCTTTTAAATATAGACAGTGTGGAGTGTATCTGCTTTGAGAACCAGAACCTTTTATTTCCCCAGTGTGAATGACTTTTATTTCAAGTCATAGTGAAGATCAGAAAAAAGAGATACTAAAAATGAACTGCTTGGCAGAATGCTGTGTGGAAAATTAATTTGGAAACTTTATTTATTAAAGAGAGGATACAAATAATACTCTGTATTTTCTGTATTTAAAGAGAAACAAAACCAAAACAAACCACCAAGCAAAAAACCCAAACACTGGTAATTCTTCTGATTAGTCTTTCTTCGGCCTGTTGGGTATGCCATAGGTGTTTATATGTTGGTAGATTCGTCATCTCTTTTAATTTTTCAGTCTACAAAAATGAAGACCAGGTTTTTGGTTGTTAAATATCTTTTTTTTTTTTTTCTTAGCTTGAAGCATGGTATGGCCTTAGTGCGTGATTCTCGTAATTTCTTGGATTTGCAGCAGTTACCTCGATTTATTCAGTTCAGTTATTAAATCCTGTCAATTTTAGACATGGTCTTTTGAGCTTAGTATTTCATCTCTAGAAGTGTAGAAGAGGATTTCTTTTATTTTTATGCTTTTGAAACTTAAGCATGAAAAATGCATGTTTATATCACAATGAATTTTTTTATGTATTTATACTTAGTGTTTCAAAATAAGTTTTACGTCTTTGTAGACAATGCTCTATACTATACAGTAAGATTTTGTACAGACATATTATTCTTAAATTATCTATAAAGTGAAAACATAAAAAGTCAGTTTATTTTACAGCATTTATAAAGGCTGCTGTAAGTGAATTTAAAAATAACTTAATCTGAAATGTTGTTTAGCATTACTAAAAAGCAGATTTTGTGAATGAAGGATAAGACAACTAATAACTGCCTCCCTGTCCTTGATGGCATTTCCTGTAGAGTTGTTTGCATTCTTTAGGCTGGTGCAAGTTGTGTTCAACTGTTTTTTCATTTCATCCAACAGCGAAGCAAAGAGAAAGGAGGAAAAGGCCATGCTAAACACATAAAAAGTATTCTTTATTATGTAATAATCTTGTAATTTTTTAAGAGAAATTTTTATTAAAAGATTCCTTTAGAAATGTTTTCTGTGTGGGACATATGTTTTGGCTTGTTACCAAGTCTGTGGAGAGGCTGGAAGATTAAAGTTGAACGTGAGAACTGAATGACCTGTGAACAGCCTTTGAGAATCTCTGGTAGTAGCAACTAGTCCTAGATTGTAAAGCAAGAGTAAAGTCAGGAAACTGGATTAATTTTCATCATGTATGCAACTATGTAGTGGGAAGGCTGATCAGGTACAAGTGAGATTTTTACAGATATAATTGAATAATTTTTGAAGGTTTTAATAAGTAGCGGTGAATGAACATATTAAAATAGAACTGGAAGTTTCAATTATATTTTTGATGTGGTAATTTTTGCATATTTATTTTGATTTTGTAAGCAGTTTTAGAGTTTATATGGGCTTTTTCATTTACTGAAAGTTTTGCTGCTCTGTGTTTGAGAAAGGGAAAAAATACTTTATGACAAAGGATTTAGGGTGGATTAGCATAGATTTATGGTGGTATTTTTTTTTAGTTGCATCCTAGGGGCAGTGTTATTTTCTGTTTTGCAGATTTTAAACTTGCTTCATAGTCTTGTCACCATTTTGAAAACTGCATGATTTGAATTCTAGGAGATTGACTGTTAAAAAAGTCTGTTCATATATTCAATGTAGCTTTTATGGAACTTAAGAAAATTGTTAACCTCAGTAATGGCAAGTCAAATGAGTAAAAAAAGAGCACTTTGGTGAAGAAAATGTACTTGCTGTTGTCATGCTGACAAGTCCAGTTTCTCATTTCATCTGATTAAATAAAATACCTACTATTGGTGGAATTGACTTTGTTCTGAGTAAAATTGACTCTGCTCTGAGTAAAGAACAATAAGGAATTTAGGGTCTGCACCTTGTATGTCTGCTGACCATCTGTATGTGGCAATACCTGTTTTGATGGACCTTTTCCTGATGTCTTTTATAGATGCATTTTCTGCATGCCATGATGTCCTTTGAACTAAGGACTGCTACAGTGCTTGGCATTGAGTTGTCTTTCAAGACAGGAAGGACCAAAAGATACCAGAGGGTTGTAAAAGCAGTAATTTAGCACTTAAGATAATTTCTCAG